GTTAATATTGGAAAAATGAACCGTCATTTGCAAATTCCAAGCATTTACAGTCTTGCTGTGGTGTTTTAGGTCTCGTCCAAATTCCAGAAAAAAATGATTGATCTGTTTTAAAACGGATCCAACAACAATGTTTAGCCTCTCAATGCATAATTTTCTTAACAAATTTGTACAAAGATGTGATTTAGTAACTTTTTCTTTTTTTGTCTACAGAAACTGCTATGAAATACTAGGCCTAACTCTAGAAAAAGCCGAAAATAGGTCATAATTCAATGCTTGGATATTAATAACAGAATCTAAATATAGTAACCATTTTTGATTTTATATAATTATTGATATTTTTGGACTATTTCAAAACCATACTCGTTGCTTGTAGTTATTCTTCAGGACAATGCGTCCCTCCCCGCATCTTTAGGCCTACAAAATACCTTCGGGGTACATTTTCACGACAAAGATTACTAATTTGGCCTTACCAAGAGGAAAGAAATTTGATTCATATCAAATTTCTTTTCTACAAACTCAATTTGATAAAATAAATATAAAAGCTACCTACTCGTGCCGTATTAGATTCTAAACGACAGAAAGAAAAATTCAAGAATTATATTTTTAAAATGGTCTATATTATTAGATAATAGACTCATAAAGTTCTTTCTAATTTGTATGAAGGTAAGATTTGCAAGCACATACTTTTTCAATTCATAAAAACACGACAGTGCACTGCAATATTCCCCCCGTAACTGCGTCAACTAAAAGAGCCATATTTTTTAAAATTCTGTTTAAAAACCCCCAAAAATTGTTATGTGTTGTTGATTTAAATCTCCTCTAACTACCTGCATCAGAAAAGGCACTGAAATAGGTGTGAGCCACGAGAAAATCATTCATGAAAACAAGCAATTTTCCATACTGAACCCTATTGCAGCTTTCTTTTTGCCACAATTTGAACTGGCGGAAGTAAACAAATTTGCCTCACTCGGCAGTACGCAGCATGACCCGAGTTAGACATTTAGCGCCTTCGGCGCTTCTATATGATTGCTGCTTCGCTTATATATCATTGCTGCTGACCTCTTTCAATGATTACGAGGTCGACACTCTCTCGGCCGATCTCGCTCATTCGAGTCGGCACTAGATCATAGTCAGCTAACGTACATGACGTCATACATCTTTGAAACCGAGGACTAAGTGCAATGGCGGAACTCGCCTGTGGTTTGCTGTGGCATTAACAGGGCCCATGTATCCCTACAGAACAGTTGAGTGTTTTAGGCAAATGCAGAAAAATGACCGCAGGAGATCATTCTGTAGTTTGTTTAATCTACAGGGACGTGTTTGCCAGATTTTCTGCTTACTTCGTTCGGGGAATTTTCTGCTAAAGCTGGAGTTTAGCTTTTTCTTCAAGGGTTTCAATTCATAGCACACACAAACAGAGAGACACGGAAAAAGTGTCTATTCTACTCTAAAGCTTTAAATAGGCCCTGTTTTGAAGCACTTTCTTACAGTTGAATCTAAAGAACTCGTTTTAGTGCGTGTGCAGCTAAAAAAAAACTCTCTCTTACGTTTTCGCCTAATTCAGAGTAACTGCCATTGATGATTATGTATGAAGCCGTTGCTAAAATCTCAGGTAACTAGTTTTGCCGCATAAGAACATTATCAAGCATTTAAAAGAGAGTTCTCCGACAAAATTGGCTGTAATCAAGCCTAAAGTCCCTTTTAAAAACATTGCGTCAGTCTTCATATTGACTGAGCTGAGGTATTGGCAGTTGACATAGGAATTGAATTTCATGCCGCTTGCAATAAAGTCTTTCATCAAATGGTTGGAAAGCAATGAGGTCATACTACCACTTATGCACCAGGTTGCCATAGTTTGTATGACGTCATGTACGTTAGCTGACTATGATCTAGTGCCATCCTCATTCGCGGGGCTTGAGTTCTCATTGGCAGTTGCGATCAGATGATAACTTGACAAGTCAAATGGCTTATCGTTTGTTGATTTTGTACTGCCAATCTTCAAGTTCTTTGATCTCTAGTTAAATATGGGAAGAATTAGGTTTAATCGTTTCAAAGGAGTGCGAAAAAGAAGGAAGAACAACACAGTATCACTACCTGCCCAAGGTCTACTAGCCACGGCAATTACGACGCAATCAAAGACTGAGTGTTGGCGAAGAAAGAAGCCCCTCAACAAGCGCAAGGAAACTTGACTATTTCGATCTTGATATCAATGAGATGATAAACGTGACAAACCCACTAACCAGGCAAAACCTGTTGCCAGCGATGGATGTTTTATTTTTGTACAAACAGCTTCCTTAAACAAGTTGATCGCCAGCCTATGTTGCCCTTCTTGTAAGCAAGCGAGAATCGTTTTCAAAATCCACGATAACAAGCACAAAGGATTTTGTGCCAAGGGCTATGTTTACTGTGAAGCGCGTGAAAACGTCGTGAAAGAAGAACACCTCAGTGAAAATGTCAGTGATTCATACATTGACCAGAGCCGTCTTTGCATTCATGGGGATTGGTTGTGGATACAATGCCATTAAAGACTGGTCTACAATGATGAATCTTCTTAACTTTCCAAGCAAGTTGGCCTGTCAAGGGGTGAAAGAAAAATAGTCACTGGCAGTAAAGAAACTTTCAACGAGGTTTCAGCAATGTCAGCTGATATAATATGCAGAATATATGATGAGAATGGAATGGTGCCTGATAAAGATGGCATTCTTGGCATTGCAGTCTCGTATGATGGCACATTGCAAAAAAGAGACCACTCTTCTCATAATGGTGCTGCAGTCTTCATTGAAATTTTGACAGGCCTCCCAATTGACTATGAAGTGTTATCAAAGTTCAGTCATCAATGTCTCAAAAGTCCGGAAAAAAATGATCAAACACACTCCGTCCGAATGGCAAGAAAATCATGCAGAAAAGTGTAATAGGAATTATGAAGGCTCGGCAAACTCAATGGAGCAAGAATGTGCTAGGATTATGTGGCAGAGATCAGTGCAGAAGTATCAATTGAGATATACTACAATGTTGTCAGATGGTGACAGTAAGTTATTTGATTAGCTAAAAGAGATTGATGCCTATAGAAAAGACATTAGAATTAGCCAGGAAGAGTGTATCAACCATGTGTCCAAGCGAATGGCAACAGCACTAAATAATCTGTTTCAGGAATGCAAAGCACAAAAGCAATCAATAACTGGCAAGGGCAAATTAACAAAGGAGAAGATTTTGAAAATACAAAATTATTATGGAAGGGCAATTAAGGGCAAACACATGACATTATTCTTATGAAAAAGAGATTTTTTTCGATCCTATTCGTCTTGACATCAACTGACACTAATCAAAAGCATCACCATTGCCCCTCTGGAGAACATTCCTGGTGCTTTTGGAAAAGGGGCGAAGCTAAAGGAGACATTCCAGGACTGTGACGTTATTAGCCTCGTATTTATGTTATGTTGGGCATGCGCCCGGTTCGTTATGTTATGTTATATTATGTTATGCGTGAGAATATGAAATGGAGTATTGAAGTTCCAATTCCGGTGTTCTTTCGTTGTTATATACCGGATATTCTTACATGGTGTCAGGTGAAACACCCATCTTTGATGTTTAGGAGGTAAATGATTGCTTTGCTGGTTCTTGTTTCGCGATGACAGATCCGGATCCAATCGTGCCTGGGCCTAGTGCTTCCTCTGAAGGAAATAGCGGAACATCGGCGTTCATATCTAACGTGCCATTACCCCCACGATTAAGCTTAGAAGGGAATTTGGCAGAGAATTGGAAGCAATTGAAGCAAATTCATGATGCGTACGAAACTGTTACGAATTTTGAATCTAAACCAGACAATTTTCGAGTGGCTGCTTTCATCACTTGCATATGACCGGAAGCTCTTCGAATACACAATTCACTTCCGTACCAGGAGGAGGGTGAACGTCAAAACATTGAGCGTATAAATTCAATAATTGTACACAGGGCCCTGCAGAGTCAATTGAAACTTATGCGGCTTCTTTGCGTGCCCTCGCAGCCACATGTGCATTTGGACCACTTAATGATGAGTTGATACGTGACCGAATTGTTTGTGGCATTCACAGCAATGCTGTGCGACGTAAGCTACTGCAAGAACCAAAACTCTCATTATCTAAATGCATTGACTTATGCAGGGCCACAGAAACAACTACTGCTCAAGCAAAAAAAATGGCTGGCCAAGATGATAATCACGACCTCATGGCCCATTATGTTGGAAAGCAAAGCAGCCCAAGGAAGACCACTGGAGACACAAGAGGTTTTATTTCCGACTGCAAATTTTGTGGGCGTAGCCATAAAAGAAACAAAGAGAGTTGCCCAGCCTTTGGCAGATATTGTTCTGGTTGTGGTAACAGAAACCATTTTGTTGAGAAGTGCAGCTTGAAGAAATCACCAGGTATGAGAGATACATTTTCTAAAGCCAAAATACATGCAGTGAAGGAAAAAAACACTTCAAGTGATGATGAAATTCTCATTGTTGACATTTCACCCAAAAATAATCTGGCAATCAATGCTGTGTCCCAGTCCCCTCCTAAGAACAAAATTTTTGCCTCCATGATTATAAAAGGCAGGCAAATTAGTTTTCAAATTGACTCAGGTGCTACCTGTAATGTCCTTCCAGAACACTTCGTTCCTCCAGGCACAAAAGTTGAAAAATCGGATCACTCTTTGCGCCTGTACAGCCAAGCCTTATTACCGATAAATGGTATTTGTAAACTTAAGGTAGTAAACCCAAAGATCCAGACTGAGTACACTGTCAGATTTGTTGTTGTAAAAGGTGACTATGTGCCATTATTAGGAGCTAATGCAGCACAAAAGATGGGACTTCTGACTGTTAATTATGCTAAAGCTCTAACAGTATTGCTTCAAACAGCACACATCAACAGGCACAACCAACGGTTGTCATGGAAACAGTCTTATCGACCACCGCAGTGGCTCCACTCAGTATTGCAGATATAGAGAACCGTTTTGGAGATGTCTTTGAAGGTCTGGGTCACATGCCAGGCAAATTGCACTTAGATGTTGATGAGTCACAAACCCCTGTTGTCATGCCGCCTCGCAGAGTACCAATCGCTCTTAAAGCAAAACTCAAGGCTGAATTGGAAAGACTGGAAAATCTTCATTTCATTCAGAAAGTTACAAGTCCAACAGATTGGGTATCAAATCTCGTCATTGCAGAAAAACCAAATGGAAAACTGAGGGTGTGCATCGATCCACAACACCTCAACAAAGCATTGAAAAGAAGTCATTATCCTTTACCGCTCATTGAGGATGTGCTACCAGAGTTAGAAGGTGTCAAGGTATTCAGCAAAATCGACCTGAAGGAAGGGTACCTTCAAATAGAGCTCGATGAAGAATCAAGCATGCTCACAGCGTTCCAGAAACCATGGGGGCGTTGGAGGTACCTCAGGATGCGATTTGGAATTAAACCAGCTTCAGAACATTTTCAACACAAATTTGATCAGTGCATTGAAGGCCTATCTGGAGTGTATGCAGTCGCTGACGATGCTCTTGTTACCGGAAGAGGAGAAACTTACAAAGAAGCTGTCAAAAATCATGACATGCTGGCACTTTTGAAACGTTGTCAACAAAAAAACATCAAGCTGAACAAGGACAAATTCAAGTTCAAGTGCGATGAAGTTTCCTTCATTGGTCATACCCTAACACAGAATGGTCTTAAAATAGACCCCGCAAAAGTTGAAGCCATCACAAAGATGAGCAAGCCGAAAGATGTCGCTGGTGTACAAAGATTCATTGGCATGGTAAAATACCTGGCCAAGTTTCTTCCCAGACTATCTGAAGTATGCGAACCTCTGAGAAATTTGACCCACAAAGATGCACCATGGGTATGGGGAAACGATCATGACAAGTCTTTTGCTGACATACAAAAAGCAATTTGTGAGGCACCAGTTCTAAAGTATTTTGACCATAAGGCAGCAACAGAAGGCCAGGCTGATGCATCATCAAAGGGGCTTGGTTTCGTGCTCATGCAAGAGGGACGTCCCGTGTCATATGCAAGCAGAGCCCTCACCCCTGCAGAGCAAAATTACAGCCAAATAGAGAAGGAGCTGCTTGCACAAGTATTTGGAGTGGAACATCACCATACCTATGTCTATGGCAGAGAGATTACACTTTGGACGGATCACAAACCACTTGTCTCAATCGTCAGCAAACCACTCGCCTCTGCTCCAAAGAGACTGCAAAGGTTGCTACTAAGATTGCAATCATACGATGTTAAAATCTGCTATAAACCTGGCAAAGAAATTGTTCTAGCAGACACACTCTCTCGTGCATACCTGCCGACAAGTGAGAGACAAAAGTTCGCAACTGAAGAAGAAGTCGAAACTATCCACATGTCAAATTATCTCCCCATCTCCGAGCCACAGCTGAAGGAAATACAGCGAGAAACCAAATGTGACAGCACTTTACAAGCACTGAAAGAAATAATTTTGAATGGGTGGCCAGAAAGAAAAGATACCCTTCCTCGATGTATTCATCCATACTTCTCAATTAGAGACGAGCTAGCAACACAGGATGACGTAATATTCAAGGGTCAGAGAGCAGTTGTTCCAGAAACACTGCGCAAAAAGATCCGGAATAAACTGCATGTAACACACACAGGAATACAGAGCTGCCTCAGAAGAGCCAGAGAAGCAGTTTACTGGCCTGGCATGAACAAAGATCTTATCGACTTCATCTCGAAATGTGAAATCTGTAACACATCCCAAAACAACCAGACCAGAGAGCCCCTTATTCCTCGTGAAATCCCAAGCCGCCCCTGGCAAATAATTGCTGCTGACATTTTCACAGTCAACAACAAAGACTTCCTCTGTACTGTGGATTGCTACTCCAACTACTTTGAGATAGATCGTCTATTTTACAAAACTGCTAGGGAAATTAAGAAGAAGCTCAAGCGACACTTCTCTACTCATGGCATACCAGATACGCTCATGAGTGACAACGTACCTTTCTCCTCTAAAGAATTTCAGGATTTTGCCAAGGAATATGAATTTACCACCGAGCTAAGCTCGCCAGAGTACGCACAGAGTAATGGCAAAGCAGAAAATGCCGTCAAAACTGAAAAGATGCTAATGAAAAAAGCGACTGAATCTGGCAATGACTTCTATCTCGTGCTACTAGAATGGCGAAACACGCCGTCTGAGGGGATGGAAAGCTCTCCTTCCCAGCGTATGTTTAGCAGACGAGCTAAAACACTGCTTCCCATGTCGAAGAAGCTCCTTAAACCAAAGGTTGTCACTGGTGTCCAAGAAAAACTTCGAAAGAGGAAAGAGATACAATCAAAGTATTATAACAGAGGCACAAGGGAGCTAAGTGCATTAAAGAAAGATGATGTATTCCGGATAAAGCCAAGAAATTCCGACAGAACAGGCCGCTGGACCAAAGGATGTGTCATAGAGCAAGTTGGTGTAAGATCTTATAATGTAAAAACCGAAGATGGAAGAATCTTCAGACGAAATCGAAAGTTTCTACGTCAAACCAAAGAGCCTTTCTTTGCAGATGAAGAAGATTCAATCATTTTCCCCAGAAAGGAACGAGAAGCAGTGGCTCAACCTTATGAAGATCACCAATCTGAAATGGAGCAATTTGATCCGCAAGAGGCACCTCACTCACGACCTGATGCTACTGAAGAAAAGACAGCAGCCGCCAGACCTGCTGAGACCAGATTTGATCATAGGCAATTGAACTTTTACCAGCCAGTAACGACAAGGAGTGGCAGGAAAGTAATTCAGCCGGACTACCTCACTGGCCACAACTTCTGATTAGCAAACTTTAAGAACAATTATTTTTATTATCTTACTGTTCCATTTATTCTTTTGTTGGAGGAAAGGTGTGACGTTATTAGCCTCGTATTTATGTTATGTTGGGCATGCGCCCGGTTCGTTATGTTATGTTATATTATGTTATGCGTGAGAATATGAAATGGAGTATTGAAGTTCCTATTCCGGTGTTCTTTCGTTGTTATATACCGGATATTCTTACATGGACCACACAAGAAACATGCGACAACCCCTGTTGATGTTGGCAAGAAGCTTGTGCCAGTCTTCCGGCGCCTTACAGATGATTGTTTGTTGGAAAGGTGCAAGAGAGGTGCCACTCAGAACTCAAATGAATCTTTGCACAATGTAATTGAAGATTTTGTCCCAAAATGAATTTTGTTGGAAGAAGAACTCTTGAGGCAGCAATGTGTTTGGCATTGTGCCAATTTTTGAAAGGTGTTACCTTTTGTGAGAAACTTTGTGCCATTTTTTGAAAATACGTCCTGGTCAATATTTATGTCAAGGTTCATTAAAAAGATCAATTGAAAGGATAAAGAAGGCAAACAAAGCAGCAGCAAAATATCAAAACATAAAAGAAAGCAGCTCAAGTATTCAAAAAGTAAGAAAGACAAAGTGATAAAGTCAAAGGAAAAAGACACTTATAAAGCGGGATCTTTTACTTGACAAGTACTATGAATATTAATATTTTTCTAAACAATTTTCATTGATTGATGAGCTATCATTGTGATTATATAGAGTTGTTGCATGATAATACCAAACTGTTTAGTTTTGCCCCCCATCAGAAGATAGATTTCCCATATACATTAACAGGAAACCGAATTTAGTTTTTAGATGCAATTTTCTCAGGTTCCTAATTTGTGCGTACTGCTCATACTTGTGGAGGGTTGATATAGAAATTGGCTGGAACAAAATAAACATGCTATATGTCATTTGAAAGCTTATATAACTGTAGGTGTAGGAAAATGTTAAGCTTCTTTGTTTCTACTACTGTGTAACCTCCATATTCAACACAAAACTCCTATGTGTATGCAATTTTCAATATTCTGTGGAAAACCTTTATTTGAACAATAATATTTACTCTCTTGCAGATATTAACTATTTCTCTGCACAAAAGAGGCTCTAAGCATTGACATGGTGCCTTAGATGCTTGTGTAACACATCTAGCTTCAGATATTATCTTTCCACAAAAAATTATAAATTTTTTTTGTTTCCTTGATTTCCATGGCAACCAAATTCTATTTTTAGATTCAGTTTTCATATTTGGAAAGAAAATTAAAACATCACCTTGGACACCAAATTTCATTTCTTTAGAATGATTAATGCCAAAAATAGATTTTGGACTAGTCCCCTACCTTTAGGGGCCCCAAAGTATTTTTACTAGGGGACGCAGCTGCTCTTTGCGTCACTAATAAAACTATTTGGCATAATGACAACAGCCTTGATAGAGCCGAGGGGAAAATCACTCCGAGAAAATCTCGTACACCTTTTGTGAAAATCCTTTTGCTTTATCTAAAACTCCCCGGAAATCCTTTTGTTTTAGGAAAAATCTCGTACGCTATTTGCAAAAGTGAATTGCCCCTATGGATAGAGTTGTACCAAGGACATACTAACCTAGGGGGCGCTTAGCCTGAGCCCCAGACTCCAAATAGTTCTAGTTTGGGGTCTGGAACTCAGGCTAGGGGGCGCTTAGAATCGGTGCCTTGTAGCTAATTTTGAGCGACCACGCCACTGCTTTACATTATGTTAGTTCGGAAAGTAATAGCGTTGGCCCCTATAACTGAAAGCTCGTCCCTGGCTAGCCCCCTACCCCCAGATATTTAAGGCTAGATTCGCCACTGTGCAAGACATCCAGTCTTTAATAGAATATATTTTTTTGCACATACAGACTGTATTCGTCTTCGACCATTCGCCCTTTAATGTTTACGGCTACGTTCATTACTGGTTATTTCCAACAATTGTTTTTACTTCTGTTCACTTTTCTTATGAAGAATTAGAAAGTGCTGGTCACTTGACTTATAATAAACTGCATTTGCTCCACTGAAATGCGCTTCGCTCCTCTGTTTTTTTTGGGGGGAAGGGGCCATTATTTGCGCATCAAAAAAGTTATTGGGGCAATACTGTTGTTCTAACAGATGAGAGCATATCTCATCATGTGTTAAATTTTTTAAATATTTGTGATTGCTCGTCCCGTTCCATGCTAACCCCATATTGTTGTGGTGCTTGTAAAACATGTTAAAGGAATTAGAATGACCAGATGAGGTTACTCATGACACGAATTCTTCACATTCTACTCATTTTAGAAGATACTTCTGAATCGAAACCGATTGCCAAGATTACTCAATCAAACGCCATTGACAAGATTACACCATGTGATTACACATACGGCGACTCGTGCCTGCGTCGGTGGAAGGAAGCTGAGTCAAAAATAAAAAGCAATCAAGTTTCTTTACTAATATGATGATTATTTGCTCGCTTGCTGTTAAAATTACGAATCTTTCCAAACAGTAGCCTTTAAAAATTGAAAAGGCTTACATCTGTGGTTAAAAATTTCCGAAAGCCACTGAGGTCTTTAGATCTCCATAGACAAAATTGCTTCGATCGGGCTAGAATTGATTGAGGTGTGGAGTGAGGGTTCAAAATGTTCTTTTGGCTAAGTGTTTGATGCAAGCCTCTTTGAAGTAAAATTAGCTTCGAGGCCAGCTTTTGTTTAGGTAAATACACCAATTCGACTTACGACCTCGCTTTGGAAATTTCTCCAAATTTAATTATAAGACTTTTTTAAGCTCAGATTTGGTTTTATCGTCATAATTTTAGGCGGGATACCATTTTTCATATTGTTTGAGCTTGTATTTTAGATTTTACCGAGAAATGAAGTTTGAAAACTTGTAAGGGATTTGACCGCAAAAATCGTTTCGGGGGGAAACTTTACCCCCCTAGTCGCCAATCACGGTCAAATCCCTTATAAAGTTTTTATCTTTATGTCGTCATAAAATGAATATCGTAAGCAATATCATAATAAAAACTTACAAGTAGACTAAAATCATTGCTGTCAATCCGAATCTGAGGTCAAAAATTTTGTACAAAAGAATTTTTAAAAATGAGGCCGTAAGTCGAATTGGTGTATAGGAGGGAAAAAGGCCTATTGTTTAAGACAAAGGAAAAGTCACTGGAGCTGGAAGGGCAATTGGCCCCCTTGAATGATAAAGTAATACCACACAGATCTGTTTAGATTGGATGTGTTTTGACCTCATGAGTATTGGTTTTCTCCTATCAAAGCACTGTACTTTGGTCCTGGTTCTAAAATCCATGTACTTCAAATTTAAATTGCATTGATTAGACAACATTTATTACAATATTAACACTTGCAAGAAATGCTTGTAGATAGCAGTTTTAAAATCTTTTCAACTAACAGTGATGTTGCGTTGGACACTGGGATTAGTGTTTAGGTATTTTTGGTGTTTGGGTCACGTGTGTTCTGTATCGGTTTACAATTAAGGTGTTATTGAGGTTTGTTAGTATTTGACTTATTAGAATTATTGAACGGCAAAAAAACAAAATAAAAGATGCAAAAAACACAACAAATAGAAAAATATACCTTTCGAGTGTCACATTTCATATCTCAAACCGAATACAAAGTGGCATGACTGGTAATTGATTGATAAATCTTTTCCATTTTTGGCCAAAAATTGGGGAGGGGGCTATAGCCCCCAGAACCCCTTCTCCGCCGTGCCTGACATAGAGGAGTACCCTTGTCTTTTATAAGAACCATTTTATGAGAACACGAGCCTCAACATTGGTGAAAAGTTAAGAAAAAATTAAGAACAAGCTGAGGCTTAGCTACTGTAAAATGCAATTTTGAACAACTTTTCTAACAATGTTTTATCTCATGAACGAAGATTTTTAGCTATGTTTCGATGCTTTTTCGGTGAATATTTCAAACTTGGCGGCTATGAAGTTTGCCTCACTCACTTTGTCGGCAAACGAGGTCTGAACATCTCCCTAGAGCGAAAAAGCTAGCAGTCGCACTGCTTACACCCTATTAATTTAAAGAAAAATTAAGAGCAGTCAGCCTGAACTTAAGTTAACTGGTTCTTATAAAAAGAGAGCGTAATACGTAATGAGAAGGGCTCATTTATCTTTATCCATTTTTATGGTCAACTTGATCATCAGATGTAGTCATCTTTGTAATTGTAATTTTTGTATGTTCAGGGAGCGCAGTAGCGGCGCCACGTCCCCCTCCACTTCTCAGCAGAATCGAGTTTGTATTTCGTCTGAATTCGATGAGAAAATGTTGGGGAGGGGTAATATTTTGACACCGTACTTTTTGTGATGTAATCCTATGATTTTCAAACTACCAATTTTCAAACAAAAGTTAGTCTTAGGCGTTCCCTTCGGATATAATCGGCGTTCCCTGTTCTGGTGGTGAAAAGGGCGTGGCTTTTATTTTTTTTGGTTTGTCCCCCCCAGAGTTTAGTGGCTGGCGCCGCCATTGAGGGGGCGGGTGAGCATTTGCGCTACTCCCATTGCGAATGGCCTCTTTGAAGAAAGAGCAACTATTCATTTATTCATTTATTTGCTTCCTTCTCATACCTGGTCTTGTTGTATTAACTCTACATCTGTGTGGAATTAGCAACTGCATAAAAAGATTTCCTGCGGAAAAGCTGGCATCTAACCAAACCCAAAAGAGTTTAGATGCAAGTGTCGGTAGGTCTGTTACTAGGAGCATAATATTTTCAAACATTAGCAATCATTGGCAGAAAATAAAGATTGGCATTTTCGTTTTTTTACGATCATTTGGAATCGGTTTGCGATACACCCTTCCTTATTAAGAAAACTTCGCAAAATCCCAAGTATTACTATCTTGCAGAGCTTTGGCACGGGAGGTTTCTGAACACGAGAACCTGATGTACTATTTACCAATCCTTAAAGTCTGATGACAATTTTCATTTCATAATTACGTTGTTGGCCGTGGCCACGATTGCCCTTATCAGTATAATGAACATTATTTCCACCTTTTGAAGGCGTTTGAAAAAAATCCCAAAACTTGTATTTTTACCTCTTAATTTTACCCGTAATTGCAATTTTTGGTTAAAACATTGGCAATAACATTTCGATGCACTCGACAACCATAGGTTAGGCACATGACATGCGCGTTGATGGGTCAATCAACTCCCTCCATTGACTAATTGATGGTAACTGAATATCACAGGAAACGTGTGATATGAGTCACAGATGACGGTTCCGCTTTCTTGAGTATACCTGAATAATCCCTCTAGGACCTTGTGAATTAATTATGTTACAAATTACTGAGGTGCAATTTGTTTAGGCTCAGCATCAAATACCAGATTAAAAATATGATAAATCTACAGAATGCTAAAAGCCGGTGTGTAAGCATAGTCACAAACAGACATTGCGACTTGATACATCGACAAAACCTGTATAACTTGTTTATAAACATAAGTAAGCCGTTTTTATTCTTTTCCTCAACTACCTGTTTGCCTGTAGTTTCGCCTTGAATTTCGCTTCGCAATTGGGACTGTGTATCGTGGTTCCACAACTTCTAACAAAAATTAGTCACAATATCGCTGTTCCGAAACAAATCCTTAGAAGTTTTTTTTGTTATTTGCATTAGGATAGACCGTTAACAATGTTATGAAAACTTCCTTAGAATACAATGAATATAATATGCTTGCGTTCGTTCTGGATTGCACCTTCAAAACAATCAATGTCCTCGAATCTTTTCCCGCCTAATTATCTTCTAGACCACTTTTAATTGGTTAGTTAGATAATAGCATGTCGCATGAATTGGCTTCTAAACAATTGTATTTTTCGTAAGGAACAATAAGTGTTAGGATCCGAACAAAAGTGCTATGCGTTGATTGGCTAGTTTAATTTTGATTGCATGAATATGCATAAATTATAGCAAGTGGAACAAGCTGCGTAACGTTGAATTATAGGGCGTTGTTCGCACTTCAGAGAAAGTTGCGTAGTTAGGGTGTTTGATTTGAGATCGTATCCACAAAATCACAGGCTTGTACTAAAAAGTTTTAGGATGGCTGAAGTAGAAACCGTTCAAACTGTTACTGAAACTGTAGAGGTTACCGAAACAAAAACGGTTACGACATCCGCAGACGGCACAGTGACTGAAGTGACTGTTGTTAAAACAGTTGAATCCGGAGACTCACATGGCCAAGAAGAAGCCAAACCTGCCGAGGCCGTCCAAGTAGAGGTGAAAGAGAATGGCGGTGCTGAGCCTGCTAAAGATGAAGAGCCTCCTGTAGTTGAAAAAGATGGCGCTGAAGGGGTAGTGGTAGAAGAGAAAACTGCAGAAAAAGTTGAGGTACAGGAAGAGAAAAAAGAGGAGGGTCCACCGAAAGTCATACTGCACCAGTTCCCTCCTGTAGCTAGTGTTCCAAGCCTTTCGCCTTTCTGCCTTAAACTGGAAACATTCCTAAGGATGAATAAAATTCCATACGAGAATGTTCACTCTTTAAAAGTTGGGAAGAAGGGGAAAATGCCATGGATCGAATACAAGGGTGAGAGGATCTCAGATTCAAGTTTTATTATTGACTATTTGAACAAGACTTTTGAGATTGACATGGATAAGAACTTGAGCAAATCTGAGAAGGCACAGTCGAGAGCCCTGAAAGTTATGTTAGAGGAGCAGTCTTATTTCACTCTAATGTATTCACGATGGGTAGATGAATTTAATGAATTCAAAAAGGTAGTATCTACCCACCAAAAAGGTATTGGGTTCGCTGTCACCTTCAAGATGAACCAGCGTAAGGCACGGTCGACCCTTGATCATCAAGGGATAGGCCGACACTCCAAAGAGGAGATTTACAAGATTGCAGAACAGGATCTACGGGCTCTCTCAGATTATCTTGGCGAAAAACCTTACATGATGGGAGCAGAAGCTACAACTTTAGATGCCACTGCTTTTGGTTTGTTGGCTAATATAGTATATTCTGGCTTAGAATCACCGCAGTTTAAAATGGTGAAAGAGGAATTCTGTAACTTAGCTGATTACGTCGAGAGGCTGAAGAGCGAGTTTTGGGTTGACTGGAATGAAATGGTGCTAGGTGACAAGCCAGAACATACTCACATCAGAAGACGGTTCAGCTTTAAAACTGGGAAAAAGAAGGCCAAGGAAGTGAAGAAGGAAGAGAATTCAAGCGAAGAGGAAAAGCCTGAAGAGGGCAAGGCAGATGCAGACAAGAGCGAGGAACCTGCTCCCGCTGAGGGTGAAGCAAAACCCGAGGCAGCTGAAGACGGCGAAGGAAAGGTAGAGGAATCAAAACCTGGGGAAAAAACCGAAGAGACTGCCCAAGTAAACGGAGAGGCTTCTGAAAGCGAGAAGGCAGAAGCTGAGGCACAATAAAGAACTTGATTTTGCTACAGACTAAGGTTGGTGAATCCCTTCATTACCCATTATCCATCCACGTTGTTGTAAATGCGAGATTATTTCTAGCCTGTTACAAAAGCTTGTTAAATCCACTGATATAAAATATTTGAGTAGTTGATTCCTTTTTACGTTCAAGGATTACAGCTTCTAAATTGAGGATAAATATCACAAGGCCCTTTTTGGTTGCTCCAAGATAATGTTTTGTGGTCATTGAATTAACTTTGCTTAAAAAGACATCAACTTTTCTGTTTTTATTTACTTTTCATGTTTGAAAGTAAGATTGCTTGGTATGAAATTTGATATCGAATGGTGATTGCAGTGTATGATAAAAAATGAAAAAGAGTTGTGTCCGTTTAGAATTCTGCGATTTGTAGACCCGCCCATTTTCCTTAGCAAGAGGACTGGAAGAAAAGACGTCCGTTTAACTTTATCAGGGTGCAGGATCTTGTTAGTCTAATGACTGGTATTAATATTTTGAAAGACAGGGCAAATTTATGTAACCCGCAACTTTACACGAACTTTTTCTTAAAATCAGGTCTAGAAAGATTCGCCTCGTTCAATTTTTTAGGTGAGCGTTCTTGCCCCAATGAAGTGGGCGTGTACGGCGTTTTGCGTTTGACGTAGTAAAACTTTTCAAGATACACAAGGCACTTCAGTCTACTAGCAGATTAAATTATTTTGGAAATTTGTATTGTTACCTGGATTTATTGAATTTAGTTTGCCTGAAATACTCATTGCGTACTTGGATTGTGTTTATTTTGCAGACAACAACAATATTGTTTTGTTTTGTTTTCAATACGCTTTGTACAAAAGCAAGTTAATAGACCTGCAGCAAGTTTTTTTATTTACTTTCCTAGTCTGTTAGTCTGCTTTTATCTTAAAACTGTGTTTTGGTGCCTAATCTCAGAAGCAGCCGATATCAGCTGCATTATTCTAATTCGCGTCAAGAATATGAATATCCAAGAGAAGATGCTGGAAAGTTGACAAATTTGTTGTTCTTGCCATTTTCTTTTTGCTTAATGAAAAAAAATGGTCAATTTCTTTCGCTTGACCACGGAATTTCAACTATGTGCCACTTTCAGGAGCTGTTAAAACCAACATGCTTAAAAATGTTACACAAGTTCATTTGTGGCATTTCTCCCCTCGTGTTTAGGCCATATTGTTTGACATATGCCTCGATATTTTATCATATAGTATTTGTTAGAGGCGTTTTCATTCTTTGGCGAGTTGTATTGTTTATTGGTTGAGAATTAACCCCCCGTGGTTTGCCCTTGTAGGTACACCTTCAGAGGGGCCTAGAATTTCTGAACCTCGCGTTGAATTTATTATACCTTAAAACCTGCGTCGTTTTGGTCAATTGATTTGATAATAATAGGGTTATTGACCTAAATTTCAATCGCCGTTCTTTGTTAATAATTGAACACGTGCTCAAGCATGAAAGCCCAAAGGCTGTTTTGCACAGATTTCATCTACCATGTTGGTGCTAACGCCCTAGACAAGAGAAATTCGCACTCTGTAAGGGTGGGGGAAGATTGCTTTCTGATAAACAATAACTTCGGAGTGACTCTTCACTTTGTTCTTTGAAAAGCTTTGGTAAAAATTATAGACACCCAATAGCTTTCAGTAAGGCGGCTTTGATAACTAGACAGATGTCTGAGAAATGATTTATCCGTCTCTCCCAAGCTCAAAAGTTTTAAGTGAAGTGCTCAAAGTAAAATATGTAAACCAGGATAAAATTTGTCTGCCTAGGTCTAATGATTTATGTTAAAGTTTCCAAAGTTCCCTGGACCATTCAGCAGACTGTGGATTATCCCCTGTCATACTTTTTTTAATTTCTTTATTCACTTTATTCAATGTTCGTTTACACAATAATAGTTTATAAAGAGCTAGTTAACACCAACTTGTAACAACAACAATTTAACTAAAGATGAAGGCAATGCTTACATGTATCCAATATTAGCAATTTTTGGTGTGCATAGTCAACAGGAGCAAGTCTAATTACAAATGGATGTCTAATGGATGTCTAATGTTAAAAAGATCCAGAATTCATAACATCAACATAATATTGTATTTAGCCTATAAGTAACAGTGTTTGGCTTTTTTGCATAAATGATTGGTTTGGTAAGTTGTAAAATGGTTTCAAAGCTTTATTCAAAATCATTGTAAGACACTCAGTGCCCTTTTATGGATACTTCAGTAAGCTTGGCAGATTTTTGCTATAATACATCCATAAAAGAGGTCAATAGTTAAAATGACTTAGTATTCATCAATAGTGATATTTTATATTTATTCATATATGCTAGAACATGTATTTACCTACCTCTTAACTGAAGATGAAGATCTCTTGTTATTGGAGCTGGAATGATAAACATGTATTTAAAATACTTTAGTATGCTTGCTATGTTTCCTCTTTTTTGCTCCTTCCCACCTTCAAACATTTATTTAGAAATTTTTAGAAGCATGTGCATATCATACACTCTTTTTTTATAAGAACATGTGCCTAAAAACTGGTCAAAAGTTAAGAACAAATTAAGAACAAGCTGAGGCTGAGCTTCTGCAAAATGCAATTTTGAACAACGTTTTTTCTCAAATCGAGGATTTTTAGCGTAGGTGCTTTTTCTGTGAATATTCAAATTTGTCAGCAAATTAAGGCTGTCTCACTCACTTTGTTGGCAAATGAGGCCTGAACACCTCCTTAGAGCGAAAAAGCTAGCAATAGCACTGCTTACACAATCTTAATTTAAGAACAAATTAAAAACAATCCAGCCTCAGATTTTCGAAAAAATTAAGAGCAGTCAGCCTGAACTTAAATTTACTGGTCCTTATAAAAAAGAGTGTATTTTGTTTTGTTTGCCATGTGATATTACAGTTTATATTGTTTCTCAGTTTAAATTCATTTGTCTTTGTCAGTTGCCTGTTTTTTTCCTGACATTTAACAAAAGTCATGGTTCCTGACCCCCCTGGCAAGCCCTTTCCCTTGTAGCTGTCAAAATTTTACTACACCCTGTAGGAGTTGGAAAGGAGCAAGGATAATAGAACATTATCATCATCATGACAGTCATTATAGCCAGAAGTTTATTTTGTGCACAATGAGAGTTAATAAGATTAAGGTACATAAAGTAGTGCCTTCCTTGGGGGCGTTGTGGGTAGGTCACAGAGATGCTTGTGTTTCCCTTTTTGGTTTCATATGAAGAATTAGTAGCAGTTTTTAATTTCCAGTTGTGTCAATACAGCTATTTTTTTATGTTCACCTAGTTGTTGAAATCAAAATAACACTTGGTGTACATTGTTTTTGGTATTCTTATACCTGCATGATCAATTAGGTCAAAAAGATTTGAGCTTGTGTAAACATTGTATTGATCAAGATACATTGCAATACTTGGTATCATCAATAATTACGCAAATTATAATGCTAGCAAAACTTGAATAAACATTTCTATTTGCTTGTGTTTCTTTCACCATTGTTTCAATTATTTTTTTTCTTTCTAGGTCGATTTGCAGCTTCACATTGCTTCTTCTGTTGAAAACTCAAACAGAGCATACAGCATTATGTCTCTGGATTCACTTCTGAGAAACTTAGAGGGTTCAAACTAAATTAGCTTTTTTAGAAAAACGCAAATAGATCTGATTACTTTAAAAGATTTTATGAAATTTCTTGAAACTAACATTTGCTAATGACTGACAGTATTACTTAGGTAAAGACACACTCAACAAGTCCTGATGCATTTTATGAAAATGTGTAGAGGGCCGAAAGATGCTGCTTGTATTTTGCCTACCTGAGTAGATAAAATCCTTTTTTGGTAGATGCAGCTTCTCATCTAGCAGTGTTATTAATTTATATTCTATCATATACTGTGTTACTATATGCGTATATACCTTAAATTGGATTTGTCATATCTATCCATTAGAAAAGGAGTTGATATTGAGATATTGAAAGCTCAATATTGAGATATTGTCTTACTGATGGCTGTTGTAGTACTTCTTTGATTTTCTCATAGACAGTCTTCACATGAAGTTGCCCCAGATACAACCCCGGGGTTAACATGGTCTTTTTAGTGCCAATATACAGTGTTTCATCTTTAATATTTACCCAAATTTTATCTTTAAATGTGTTCTACCAAAACAGAAAGTCTTTTTGTATCATAGATTTAGGCAAACAAGGATTTTAGGCATTACAGTTTCTTCGTCAGCCTTTTGGATGAGGTGTTGTGTGTGACAATCTAGCTATTATGCATGGACATCCCAGTTAACGAGTGTCTACTTGCATGTTGTTAAAAAAGCTGCTCTAACAATTGATAAGTTAGGTTATCGATTATTTGATCCAGTCTTGTTGTATCTTGTCAGCCTGTATGCTGTTAGTAGTTAAAAAACGTTCCTTATATTTTAATCTTTTGTGCCTTTAAACGCATACTTTCAACTACATAGTCACTAAAATCGTTTTATGCTAGGCTTATTTATTTTTGTATCGAAACGTTGTTATTTTAACATGTGATCATTATTTCTTCTTTAACTTAAATTATAAACGTAATTATTATCGGTCTTGACGCTAAGGAAAGACGGCAAGTAACTTGTTGCTTAATGCGATCTTCTTAATTTCTTGTTAGTAAAGCGACTTTATTTTTTGAGGTAATCTGTTCGTCTTTGTATCTTGCAAAACAGTGATTAAACTCTCGCAGACCCTGAGTTAGTTTTCAGGACCTTTTGTATTTTTGTGTTGCCTCAGATCAGTTATATTCGGCGAGCCCTCTGAGCGCCTTCACATTGCTGCATGGTCGATGTTTGGCTGTTTGCAGAGGTGAAAAAGGACAGAATTAACCCTAGACCGTGGGAGAGTCGATGTATAAAGAAACGTCAAAACACTGGAATTACAATCGACAGTTTTTATGACCCACCTGTGCTCTTTGATAGTCAAAAAATTAGACTGACCCATTTCATCTTTTCGCTAACAGCGCGTAGCCATTATGACTATTATTATTGTAATTGTTTAGTTAATCGTATATTTCGTTGCTGGATAGCTAATTCGGTTATCAAAGTGTAGGTCGACTTGTTAATATAGAGATTTATGGATACATCGATTTTTGTGGCTTTCTTTTGTTTTTGAAGGTTACTTTCGCTTTTGAAGTCCCAGAGTCCGTCATTGTATTCACAAAGTTCGCAGAATACCAGTGGCGGACTGGCAGGGATGCTAGGTTGCGATCGCAAACCGGGCCTTCTCAACTTCATAATAACCGGGCCCTCCGTAGATACATTCGAGAAAATAGCTCTGTTAATTTCAAAGATATATATGTTCAAGAGAATACAAGTCACAGAAATGAAGATAAAATCCTTAGGTTGCATTTTTTCTTCGGAGGGGCATGTTTATCGAGAATTGAAATCAGAGTTTGATTGGAAACATTTTACAATACATTTTCTTTAGGTATTTTAGCTGAATTAAATTGAAGATCCTCGTTAAATTGATCGGTAGAAAAAGTTTTATAGCATCTGTATGAAATAGAAGTGGGTTCAGATTTTACGAATTCAGTTTTTAGTACAGTATAGGTTAGCTTATGGTGGTCAGACAAACCTGTCTCATATGTACCTGTATTTATATAGCTGTATTTCTTGTTTGTTAAGATCAAGTCATAGCATTTTGGCGGATTACTTTTGTAGCATGTTGGCTCTTCCATCAGATTATATAGATCATAGTTTCCCATAAAATTGTCTATGTTAGAAGAACCAAGAAGAGCCGGGTTCCATATTAAAGTCCCCAAGTATTAGGATTCTTTCATACCTTGAAATAGAAGTATCGAAAATGTTGGTAATAGAAACATCGACTGTTCCGGTCGTTACAGGTGTATTTGTACTCGTGAAGAAAGGCCTCGAGAAGTACACTCATCACATTCCTGGTGACATAAAAACTGACGAGCTACAGAATATTGCTCTTCTTGGAAGCGCCCACATACTGAAAAATTTCGGTCCATCAAAAGAAAACCTCTATTGCCTTAAAGGTCATATGAACCGAAAAACGATTTTCACATATTTGGTAGAGATTTTTTCGCTTGTCAAGACGCCGCTTCCCGTTTCTTTCTACGACTTGAACTTGTCTAGATATGGCGCTCGAAAGCCCGAAAAAGTGACCTTCAAAAGCGATGCAACTCGACCGCGGTCAGATCGATGCTGTGACGTAATAGGTTTGACACGTCCCTTCGATAGCCATTTGGAACCTTTGTCAGTGATGTTGATAAAAAATCTTGCAAAACAAGACAAAAGCACGAAACTTTGTCAGAACACAGATTTTCACACGCTGAAAAAGATAGGATGCATATATTATCTGGAAAATGCCCCTTGTGCAATTTTTAGACTGGGGTACTTGATTCCAGGCCTTTGGAGGGGTTTTTCCATAAATCAGTTGAAGGTCGCGATAAAAGCATGAAACTTTGTGAAAGTACATAGTTTGATAAGCTGAGAAAGATAGGATACGGAATCCAGTTGACAAATTACCGCTTGTGCTATTTTTAGACTGGGGTACCCGATTCCAGGCCTTTGAAGGGGTTTGTCCATAAATCAGTTGAAGATCGCGATAAAAGCATGAAACTTTGTGAAAATACATAGTTTGATACGCTAAAAAAGATGGATGCAGAACCCAGTTGGTAAATTACCCCTTGTGCTATTTTTAAACTGGGGTACTCGATTCCAGGCTTTTGAGGATTTTCCCCCAAAAATCAGTTTCAAAACACAATTAAAGCAAGAATCGTGCTGCAAGTACATGACTTGATCTCTAAAAAAGATAGGATACTGCCCCCAACTGTCAAGTACCCCTTGAGCTATTTTTAGACAAGGGTACTTGTTCCCAGGCCTTTGAGAATTTTTTTTTTCAAAAATCAGTTGCAAAACACAAGGAAGTCTAAGGAATTTGAAGGGTTTTCCCATAAATCAGTGATGAACTTCGCAAAAGTACGTAAAACAAGATTGTTCTATAAAACTATATGCTCATTGTGCAGCAAAATTATTTTGTAAGGATAATCAAATTGTAGTTATGACATGGTAATTTGCATTGAGAAAATTTAAAAAAGGCTTAAGGAATATAAACCTCAAGTACATAAAGAAAATTCTAAGCATTTCAAGTTCATATCAAATACATTTTAGGTAGGATTCCAAGCATTGAGCTGGGCCCGACCTTGCTTTCGGCGGCCCTGGCGAAATGCTTGATGTTCGGTTAGGTCAGTTTCTTGCAACAATACTTCCTGATTCAACAGCAAGCAGTGTTTCCACTTTTATTTTAAGGAATTTTCCTTAGATCAAGGATTTTTTGACTTCACAAGGATTTTGTTAAGGAATTACAAGATTTAAGGAATTTTTTAAGGAATTTCAAGATTCAAGCAATTTTTAGAGCATTAACTTTTTTCCAAAAGTTCAAAATATTTTCAATGTTTGCTTTTTCAGATGTATAATGTAACAGCGAAGGTTGTGGGAAAAAGTGGTTGTTGCCCCCCGATCTTCTTTGGTTTTGTTGTTGTTGTCACGTGATCTTATTGACGAGTTGTGATGGGTGGTTTTTTGGTTGTTCTTCGATTGACTCTGGATCTGGAAGGAAGGACGCACGGACGTTGAAAAAAAGGAACATTCTATTCTGACGAGCATAAAGACAAAGACGAACCCAAGAACTCTTGAACCGTATTATATACATATTCAGGTCACATTGTTTCGATTTTATTCTGATTGGGTTTAGTTCCTCAATTCCTTAATATTCTCCTATTTAATTGATGGTTTCTTGTTTTCTTGATATTTACGAGTTAGAGTATTATCGATCTATTAAGTTTAATTTATATACAGTCCTCTTTTCTCGAATTTGAATCTATGGATCCTTAATTTTGAACCTTTTGGCGATTCTAACTTGTCAGCGTTTGAGAGGGAGTGTCATATATTTGTCACCTCTCTGTCTCCGACCCCGAATTGCGATCCTGTGGCAGGATAATTTCTACAAAGGTATAGCGTCTTATGCATCAGCAACAAAAAAGTTGCGGCAGAATTGTCTTAATGACGACCCAAGAGGTTGTCGGTTGTTGATTATTTTTATATCTTAAGGTCTTATATTTTCTTATAATTGAGCCGTTAGCGCTATTATGACCCATCACCGATTATAAAGGAAACACGATAACTTTTTCAGTATTTTTGAATAAGTCAGATCGTTTCTCTGGGCTTAAACACTTAGACTTAAAACTTCATTTCGAGTTTATCTATCGTCAAGATGAAGCGAAATTTTTGACGGTAAAAGTGCAGCTTTAGAAACAGGAAAGAGAAAAAGATACTAGCAGAAATTTCGGAATACGTGGCTAGAAGATCCCCTTTTCAAGTTTTATAATTTGTGATGATTATTTAACTAACTAAATGTTAGTCATGGCATGAGCAATCTTTGGGATAAAACTAACAAGGACAAATTCAAAGAAAATAGAATTCCGGTTTAAGGAATTTTAAGGAATTTAAAAAATTTCAGCCTCGCTTTAAGGAAATTTAAATTTGAATAGTGGAAGCACTGACAGCAAGTGTTGTTTTTATTGCACAAGTGAGGGCAGTTCGTACTGCCTTTGAGTCTTGTCCTTGAAATATGAGCCGGCAAGGAGAGGAACTTCTTTGTGAACAAGATCCTTGAAGGGGTTTTATTCTGTTACACCGTTATTCATGCCTGTTTGTTAAACCATCAGATGTGAACGTGTCCTACGTCTCGTTTATTTCTCGGCTGCAGCAGTACTTCCTTGTCTGATAAGCGATTATGTTGAGCACTTTGTACACGAGCACCTGTGATAGAAAAATATAATCGCGATTCAGTCTTTCCCTTTTCCCACCAATTTAATGAAATCGAGTTCGCCAATCTAGTGAAAGCTTACACACAGTAAAGTCTGTTTATTAGGCTAGTCTCCCGTTTGTTTTAGGCCAGTAGGCCAGGCTCGTGTTTGTGAAAGTTTCTGCCTTGAAATACTTTAAATTGTAAAGATAATGGAAAAATAAAGAATTTAGTTTACCTTTGTCATAGGTCAGCGTGTAGTGTAATGGTCATATATCTAATTTGTTCTTCTTGAAGAATATCAAAAGAGTTGGTGTCATTTAACTTTGGCTTTGAATGTGCTTTGCTTTAGAATCATCTCATATCAAATGCACAGAAACTTGAAATAACAGTAGGACTATACTAGAAAGAATCAATTGAAAAATGAATTTTATGCTTCTTAGGTCTCTAGGAGGCTAACAGACTCCTTAAAATTAAACATTTCCCGGGCAACTGCCCCTAGTTGCCCCCCTTAAATCCGCCACTGAATCCCAGCCTTCATTCCTCACTGTGAAATATTCCTCTCGATAGTTATAGCCCACACGAACTTCAGAGAGTTGGATTATAAACGCCCCCATGTGTTATTTACTAGACAATTAATTCACATTTCCGCTTGTTTCTGGGTTGTTCTGCTTGTTCCTTGGTTGTTCCGCTTGTTACTGGGTTGTTACCGTCGAGCAGCCTGCTACCGTGGCCTTTTCTTCATTCACATATAAATGGTTTGATTGTTCTTTACATTCTGAACAACATGAACCAGAACATTTGTCTACCCAGACCGGTTCACATGCTAAATTCCACCATTCGTTTTGGGACTATAAACTCCCCAGTTGCTAATTCTAAAGATTTTTTGAAGTATCTAAAGATGAACGCTGAAGAATAACAAGACGAATTTGCTTTGCTATCTTGTTCATTGGTATCAACCATCGTGTTTACATCTTACGATGCATCTAAATTCACAATTAACGCGCTCTCTTTTAAATCTACAGTCCCTGGTTCTGAGTAACGCTACAAAAATTCTCCAATTTTAACCACCAATAAGAAGCAAGAATAACATGTGCAGTTTTACGACATCTAAAGCTAATTAACAGCAATTTTTATGCCTATAACACGCTGAACGCTTATAACTAAATTTACCTAAACATGTATCTGTAGCCAAGTTCTGGAGTAAACAAGGTTCTACCGCGATCCTAACGAGTTCACCATGCGATCCATCTAAGTGAACCGCAGGAAAAACAACTAATCACTACGCAATTCTGTATTAATAGCAAATAATTT